GTGCAGAAATAATTCAAACACTGGAAAACAGTTAAAAATTTCACGCACCAGCGCATGAAAGCTGAATTCGAAGCCTTGAAGGGTGAATGTCTTTTCGTGACTCCCGAGTTAATAATTTGCCCGCCGAAATTTTCACGAGGCCGTAGGTGATACTTAAAAGCGCGGGAACGCTGCATTTGAATAGGCAGGGTCAAGCGTGGGCAGGGGGTCATTACCTAAAATTTCAGCCTGCTAGGCTCCATGATTCCCGAGATATTAATTTACCCGCAAAAAACTTTCACGGGGCCGTACGTGTTACCCGCGGGTACGAGAAGGCTGAATTTAAACTTGCGGGGTCACACGTGGGTGGGGGACGTCCCCCTAAATTTTCAGCTTCCTAGCTTTTGTGGTCCCCGAGTTGAAAGTTGCGGGCAAGTTACTGCGGACACACATACATATACACACACAGACAACCCCGTGACAATATGCGTTTTGTGCTGCTATTACACATAAAAAGTTTCGACCAATTTGGTGTATGAAAAAGGATGAAGTTCGATTTTTTAGTGTCTTTACACTGCATTCTCTAAAAGTGTTGTTCAACAGTGATGATTTGAAGGTGCGATGAAGCGGAAACGGAATGTGCAATTGCCATTAATCCGCTGAATTCACCGGCGCTCATCGAACTCTCAGTCAAACTCGAGGTTCACTGTCTTCCCCGTATTCTCTTTTCAAAGTTTTAAAACAATTTTTTTTCATTTTTGTGGAATGCTAGCGGGCATAAGGCATCACTGGGCAGTATGTCTTCCCTGCTGAGCGTCATTAGCCTGCTTTTAAGCAGCCCACAAAAAGGATAAAAATCGACTGGGTGGCATCTTGATTCAAAAATGCTAAAATACCGCTCCCCTCAACTTCTGTTTATCTCTCACAGACGGAGACTGCATTTTTTACGCGTTTTTGCATAAAATGCAAAAACACATTGTGACGACCCCGGTGTGTGTGTGTATATGTATGTATGTGTGTGTGTGTGTCTGTCCGGGTATTTCAACTCAGCACCCAAGCAAGCTCCGACGCCAAAATTTTGGGATTGGGTTCCCCGGCTAAGTGCCATCCCAGGACCGCGGTACTAACCCTCAAGCACGTCTAGGCCCCGTGTACGAGCGCCTCAAATTTGTGGCGGGGAAATCGCTAACTCGAGAATCAGAAAAGCTGGAAAGCTGAAATTTTGGGATTAAGTTTTCAGTCCAAGTAGAACTCGAAGATTTCAAATTTAGCCCCCGGGGGGTCGTAGTTCCTGCGTACGGCCTCATGAGAGTTCCTGGCGCGAAAATCGCTAACTCGAGAACCAAGAAAGCTGGGAGGCTGAAACTTTCAAGAAATGTTCCCAACCCATCTACAACTTAAATTTATCAAATTCAGCCCTCCGTTATGCGTGGTTGCCACGTACGGCCCCGTGAAATTTTCTGGCTGGAATTTGGGTAACTCGGGAACTGAGAAAGCTGGGAACCTGTGATTTCAGGGAAATGGTCCCTGTCCAAGTATAGCGTGGATAATTAAATTCCCGGAATTCGAGGACCGGTATGTACAAGAGGTTTCTAGCTAGCGGAATCTCGAAACACTGCAAAAGCACATGATCGCACGGGCCCGCCAGTGCGCGTCGCCAATAATCCTCAGTACAAACTAACATCGCCAATAGCCTGTTTGTAAGCAACCTTCGAATGAGCTGATCTTCGACATCTTTGCCAGGTTGTTTTCGCCTCCGACAGGGAGCCAGTGCGGAGGGAATTCTGGTTAATAACTTTGCAGAAATGGCAACTTTCGTGAAAAAACAATTGAGGATCTGTTTCTGGTTTAATTCTGTCCCTGGAGCTAAACTTTTAAGTTCATCGATACTGTTGAAAAAAGATTGCAAAAGATAATAACAAATCGTCAAAAAAAAAAAAAAAAAAATTGGCCAACGCACGGGCTGCCCGTGCGAAGATGCGTTTTTTGCATGG